AGCTACTCGGGAGGCTGAGGCAGGAGAATGGCATGAACCCGGGAGGCGGAGCTTGCAGTGAGCTGAGATCCGGCCACTGCACTCCAGCCTGGGCGGCAAAGCGAGACTCCGTCTCAAAAAAAAAGAAAAATTCTCACACCTGTAATCCCAGCACTTTGGGAGAACAAAACAGGAGGGTCACTTGAGGCTAGGAGTTCGAGACCAGTCTGGTCAACATAGCAACCCCATCTCTATTTTATTTTTAAAATTAAAAAATTAGACAGGTGCAGTGGTATGTGCCTATAGTCCCAGATACTTGGGAGACTGAGGCAGAAGGCAGAAGAATCGCTTAAGCACAGAAGGTCCAGACTGCAGTGAGCTCTGATGGCATCAGTTCACTCCAGCCTAGATGACAGAGCAAGACCTCGTCCCTTTAAAAATACAAAGAGAGGCCGGGCATGGTGGCTCGCCCCTGTAAACCCAGCACTTTTGGGAGGCTGAGGCAGATGGATCACTTGAGGTCGAGAGTTCGAAACCAGCCTGGCCAGCATGGTGAAACCCCATCTCTACTAAAAGTACCAAAAATTAGCTGGGCTTGGTGGTGCACACCTGTAGTCCCAGCTCCTCAGGAGGCTGAGGCTCGAGAATCTCTTGAACCTGGGAGGTGGAAATTGCAGTGAGCTCAGATTGCATCACTGCACTCCAGCCTGGGTGACGGAGTGAGACTCCTTCTCAAAATAAATAAATAAATATATAAAGAAATAAAACGCAAGAGACAAACAAACTAAAAAACCATCCTGGGCACCTGCCAGGTCCTGGGCTTGCAGCCCAGTGGTAAATGCCACCAAGTCCTGCCCTGGAGTTGCCAATGTCATCCAGACAAAAATCAAAATATCATGTCACGTAGAGATAACTGCTGTGACAGCATATAACTCAGAGTGAGGAGGAGAGAGGGACAGGAGGAACCTGGATAAGGAGGTGACATTGGAGCGGCGACCCAATGAAGTGAGAGGGACAGCCACTGTGCATAGTGTGGGGACAGGCCAGGCGCAGTGGCTCACAGCTGTAATCCCAGCACTTTGGGAGGCCAAGGCAGGCAGATCACGAGGTCAGGAGTTCAAGACCAGCCTGGCCAACATGGTGAAACCCAGCCTCTACTAAAAATACAAAAATTAGCTGGGCGTGGTGGCGTGCACCAGTAATTCCAGCTACTCAGGAGGCTGAGGCAGGAGAATCGCTTGAACCCAGAAGGCAGAGGTTGCAGTGAGCTGAGATCACGCCATTGCACTACAGCCTTGGTGACAGAGGGAGACTCTGTCTCAAAAAAATTAAAAAGACTATGGGAACAGAGAAAAAGTCATGCAAAGTCCCTGAGGCAAGAACATGCTTGTGTGTTTGAAGGCTCACAAGGTGCCCTTGTAGCTGGTACAGGGTGAGTGAGGGAAGGATGGTGAGATTGAGGCCCAGGAGGTTGCAGGGGACCAGGCGTGGTGGCCCACGCCTATAATCCTAGCTCTTTGGGAGGCTGAGGTGGGAGGATTGCTTGAGCTCAGGAGTTTGAGACCAGCCTAGGCAACATAGTGAGACCCTATCTCTACAAAAAAGAAAAATAGGCCAGGAGCGGTGGCTCATGCCTGTAATCCCAGCACTTTGGGAGGCCAAGGAGGGTGGATCACCTGAGGTCAGAAGTTCGAGACCAACCTGGCCAACATGGTGAAACCCTGTCTCTAAAAATACAAAAATTAGCCAGGCATGGTGGTGGGCGCCTATAATCCCAGCTACTCGGAAGACTGAGGCAGGAGAATTGCTTGAACCCGGGAGACAGAGGTTGCAGTGAGCTGAGATCGCACCACTGCACTCTAGCCTGGGCGACAAGAGCAAAACTCTGTCTCAAAAAAACAAAAACACAACAAAACAAAAAAAATCAAAGAATAAAAATTAAAAGGTAGCAGGGGCCAGATCACATGGGTTTTGGGCCAGCTTAAAGAGTTTGAATTTTATTTTATTTTTTAAAAATTCTTAGAGACAGGGTCTCATTCTGATTTCTTTTTGCTTTCTACGCCCACTCCCTCAAACCATAAACCAGTGGCACCCAGGCAGCTTGAGGTTAGCTGCCAATTCAATAGCAAGTCCTCAAGAATGACATTTTTTATGGTTTTGTGCAGAAGACAGCTTGTACTCATGATCATTGGTTTTTTGGGTTTTGTGGGTTTTTGGGGTTTTTTTTCGATTTTTTGAGACAGAGTCTCACTCACTCTGTTGCCCAGGCTGGAGTGCAGTGGCGTGATCTTGGCTCACTGCAACCTCCCCCTCCTGGCTTCAAGCGATTCCCCTGCCTCAGCCTCCTGAGTAGCTGGGATAACAGGCGCATGTCACTACGCCTGGCTAAATTTTGTATTTTTAGTCGAGACGGGATTTCACCATGTTGGCCAGGCTGGTCTCAAACTCCTGACCTCAAGTGATCCGTCCACCTTGGCCTCCCAAAGTGCTGGGATTAGAGGCGTGAGCCACCACTGCCGGCCTTTTGTGGTTTTTTTTGAGAAAGAGCCTTGCTCTGTCATCCAGGCTGGAGTACAGTGGTGCTATCTCAGCTCACTGTAGCCTCCACCTTCCAGGTTTAAGTGATTCTCCTGCCTCAGCCTCCTGAGTAGCTGGAATTACAGGCATGAGCCACCATGCCTGGCCATGAGCATTGTTTTAAGAGATAGGTCTTTCTGTAGCCCAGGCTGGAGTGTACTGGCACAGTCATAACTCACTGCAGCCTTAAACTCCTGGGCTCAAGCAATCCTGCCTCAGCCTCCTGAGTAACTGGGACGTCAGGGGCACGCCACCACACCTGGCTAATTTTTGCATTTTTTGTAGAGAAGGAGTCTCGCTATGTTGCCCAAGCTGGTCTCAAACTCCTGGGCTCAAAGCAATCCACCTGCCTCAGCCTGCCAAAGTGCTGAGATTACAGGTTGAGCCACCGCACCCAGCCATGAGCAGTTTTTAAAGTCACGATGGCTTTCTCCACCTGTCATTTGGAAAGGGAGGCAGGTTAGCGCAGTGGCCGACGGGAGAGGCCGTCTGGTGGGTTTGAGGCCAGCTCCTCCTGTTACTCCCTGTGGCCTTGGCAGCCGGCTGTGCTATTCAAGCGGAAGCACTGTCGCTGCTCGGGCCTGGACTCAGGCTCTGCCCAGCTTCGGCCTCTCTGAGGTTACTGTTGGGAAGTCGCTTCCCCTTTCGGAACCTGAGTTCTCCCATAAACAGGAGGGGCCTAAATGCAGTCTGAAGCCTTTTCTAGCTCCGGAGACTGTGGTTCAAGGCAGGGCTATGCTTCCCGCTCCCAGCCCTGGCCCCGTGACCTCAGCTCTGTGCCTGGCACTGTACAGAAGCCTAAGAGATGCCCACCGCCAGAGCGGGCACCAAATCCTCATCTACTGGGGACCCAGGGAGTGCCTTCCCTGAGAGTTTGGCCTTTGGGCTTACTCCCAGGAAGAGACTCCTGGGTGTTGCTGCTTGATTACCCCTGTGACAGAGAGCTCATTACCTCTCCAAGTCCATTACTCTCCAGAGAGCTCATTACCTCTCCACTCCGTGGCCCACCCTGCCATCCCCCAACAACCCCCCTCTGGCCAGCATGATTTTCCCAGTGTCCTCTACCCACCACAAACCCCAGCCCCCCAACAGGCTTGCTCTAACAGGACAAGTTGTGCTGAAGATGGGGCCTTTAGAAGCGGTGCTGTATGATAAAGAAGGTTGACTCATGTCTGGCAGGGCTTTCTGGAGTCTGTGGAGCTAAAGACATTAGTAGAATACAAAGCTGGGCTTGGTCACTGGCGCTCCCGACTGCAGTGACACAGCAGGTCTCAGATGTGAGCCGTAGATCTCAGACCTTTCCAGCTCGGAGTTCTTGCTATGTAGTGGGCCGCGACTGTTTCTACACTTTGTTTATTTATTTAGAGACAGAGTCTTGCTCTGTCACCCAGGTTGGAGTGCAGTGGCGCTGTCTCAGCTCACTGCAACCTCCGCCTCCCGGGTTCAAGCGATTCCCTTCCCTCAGCCTCCCAAGTAGCTGGGAGTATAGGCGCCTGCCACCACACCCAGCTGATTTTTGTATTTTCAGTAGAGACAGGTTTCACCATGTTGGCCAGGCTGGTCTCAGACTACTGACCTCAAGTGATCCACCCTCTTCAGCCTCCCAAAGTGCTAGGCTTACAGGCATGAGCTACTGCACCAGACCTTGTTTCTACACTTTAAACCAGATCCATGGGAGGCCCCCTGAGGCCGCCTGCTCCAATCCCAGGCAGCGACAATTGTCCAGTGTCCGGGGAGCAGGAGTGAGATATCAGATGGACCCGTTCAGGACTGGGCGGGTCTCACTCCTGGCTGGATCCTTCAAGCCCAGCGCAGCCCCCTAGATTCCACATGTGGAGCGGCAGGGACTCCGGGCCTGAACTGTGCAGAGCCAGGAAGGTCCACTGCAGGGATGTGCAGACCGAGGCCCAGAGGGGAGGGCTGGGCAGTCCCAGAGATGCTTGCAGGGACCTCTGTGATAGCCCTGCTTGTGTTTTCCAGGCCCGAGCTGCTCACTGAGGGAGTCAAAGAGCCCATCGTGGATAGTCAAGGTACCCAGCGTGGGGTCGTGGGCTGTGGTGTGGGTGGGCAAGGGAGGGCCCCAGGGGCCTCTGCCACCAGCCTCTCCTCCTGCTGCCTCTGTCCTGCTCCCATCCTGGCCCTGGCATTCTCCCCACACCCCTGCACTGGGTTTCCCCTAACGATGCCATCTTGGGTCCCAGGAACTGCCTCCTCACTTGGCTTCTCTCCCCCTGCCCTGCCCCCAGAGAGGGATTCCGGGGACCCTCTGGTGGACGAGAACTTGAAGAGACAGGGCTTTCAAGGTAAGGTTGAGCTCGGAGAGGTCTGTTGTCCCGGCACCATGACCTTGATCTGGTTTGGGTTTGGAGGGCCAGGCTGGAAGTGGGGAAGAGCTGGCCCCCAATCTCAGGGCCTAAGGAACCAGGCAAGCCAGGTTGGCAGCCCAGGCCCGGCCGTACCGTGCCAGCTCTGTGTTAGAGACTCCAGGGGAGAGGGGGTGCCTACAGGTGGACGGTGGGGGGTGGGAGGGTACAGGGCCCAGGAGCCTGCGTGCCCCCCAGCCCCGCCCCAGGAAGTAGCTGACACCCCCACTCCTGATTCAGCAATCAGCTGTGGTCTTTGAAATCACAATAGGAGCCAGGCGCAGCACCTCACGCCTGTAATCCCAGCACTTGGGGAGGTCAAGGTGGGAGGATCACTTGAGGCCAGGAGTTTGAGACCAGCCTGGGCAACATAGAACCCATCTCTATGTCTATTTCTAAGAAGAGAAATCAGAGACCGAGTGCAGTGGCTCATGCCTGTATTCCCAGCACTTTGGAAGGCTGAGGCGGGTGGATCACTTCAGGCTAGGAGTTCAAGCCCAGACTGGCCAACATGGCGAAACCCCGTGTCTACCAGAAAAATACAAGAATTAGGCGAGGCGGCATGTACCTGTGATCCCAGCTACTCAGGAGGCTGAGGCCAGAGAATCTCTTGAACCTGGGAGGTGGAGGTTGTAGTGAGCAGAGATCGCACCACTGCACTCCAGCCGGGGTGACAGAGCAAGACCCTGCCTCAAAAAAGAGAAAGAGAGGGAGAGAGAGAGATGGTGGTCTGGGATCCCTCCAGCACATGCTGGCACTTGTTTGTTTGTTTGTTTATTTGTTGTTATGGAGTTTTACTCTTGCTGTACAGGCTGGAGTGCAATGGTGCGATCTCAGCCACTGCAACCTTCGCCTCCTGTGTTTAAGCGATTTTTCTGCCTCAGACTCCTGAGTAGCTGGGATTATAGGCGCACACCACCACACCAGGCTGATTTTTGTATTTTTTTTAGTAGAGACGGGATTTCACCATGTTGGCCAGGCTGGTCTCAAACTCCTGACCTCAGATGATCTACCCGCCTCAGCCTCCCAAAGTGTTGGGATTACAGGTGTGAGCCACTGCACCCAGCTTTTTTTTTTTTTTTTTTTTTTTGAGACAGAGTATTGTTCTGTCACCCCGGCTGGAGTGCAGTGGTGTGATCTCTGCTCACTACAACCTCCACCTCCCAGGTTCAAGGGATTCTCTTGCCTCAGCCTCCTGAGTAGCTGGGATTACAGGTACGCACAACCATGCCCGGCTAATTTTTGTAGTTTTAGTAGAGATGGGGTTTCACCTTGTTGGCAGGCTGGTCTCCGACTCCTGCACTCAGGTGATCTTCCTGCCTCGGCCTCCCAAAGTGCTGGCATTACAGGCATGAGCCGCCGTGCCCGGCCATACTTGGGGATTTTTAATGAACACTCTCTGGGTGAGGGTGGCTTGGTGGTTCATGCCTGTAATCCCAGCACTTTTGGAGGCTGAGGCAGGCGGATCACTTGAGCTCAGGGGTTTGAGGCCAGCCTGGGCAACATGGCGAAACCCCATCTCTACCAAAAACACAAAAAAGAAATTAGCCAAGTGCAGTGACACACGTCCGTGGTCCCAGTTACTCAGGAGGCTGAGACAGGAGAATCGCTAGAGCCTGGGAGGTGGAGGTTGCATTGGGAGCTGCCAGGCCCGTCCCCTGTGTCTGTGGGCACTGCCCATCCTCCACCATCTGCTAGATCAGCTGGGCTTCCGTTCCCTCCCTTGTCTCCAGCCCCCCAGTGACTTCATGAAGCCCCTGCCCCCTGCTCGCCACCCCGGGGCACAGGACTCCACGCTCCATGGTGTCCCTCCCCTCCGGGGTTTATTTATTGGTTTGGTGGTTTTCGAATGTCAACAATTAACTTAATTTCCAACTCATCACTGTTGTGACAACAGTGCATGTCCTTCTGGAAAACACACATCTCCATCAAGACGTTGGTGCTGAAGGACCTGAGGGGCCCACTCCAAAGATCCGTTAATTGCCAGAGAAGGAGTTCCCCATAATTAGAAAATCATCTTCCTTAAAAGTCACCAAGTGCCTTTTCACTGAACAGCCCAAACCCATAATCGTTTTGCGCTTTGCAGAAAATTACGACGCGAGGCTGTCACGGATCGACATCGCCAACACGCTAAGGGAGCAGGTCCAGGACCTTTTCAATAAGAAATACGGTAAGCAGCGCAGAACCCCTGGGGAGGGACACACAGCTGCTGTGGGCAGAGAAGTGGGAGGCTTCCCAGTTCCAGCTGAGGGCATTTCTGGGGAAACAGTTCACCCCTTTACACGTATTTCTTGAGCATTTACTACATGCCAGGCACTGTCTCAAGCACTGGGGATATTGCCGTGAATAAAACAGACACAGTCCCTGTACTCATGAGCCTTGCAGACCAGTGAGGTGAGACACACTTTCAACTACTACACACAGAATTTAATAGACAGGGGCCTGGCTCGGTGGCTCATGCCTGTAATCTCAGCACTTTTGGAGGCTGAGGCAGTTGGATCACTTGAGCTCAGGAGTTCGAGGCCAGCCTGGGCAACATGGCGAAACCCCGTCTCTACCAAAAATACAAAAAAGAAATTAGCCAGGTGCAGTGGTGCACACCTGCGGTCCCAGTTACTCAGGAGGCTGAGGCAGGAGAATCGCTTGAGCCTGGGAGGCGGAGGTTGTAGTGAGCTGAGATCGTGCCATTGCACTCCAGCCTGGGCAACAAAAGCGAAACTCTGTCTCAAAAAAAAAATAAAAGCGGGGGAGCATACAACATGGGAGCATATTGGTGTGGCTTTTTCTTTCTTTTCTTTTCTTTTTTTTTTTTTGAGACAGGGTGTCACTCTGTCACCCATGCTGGAGTGCAGTGGCGTGATCATGGTTTATTGCAGCCTCAAACGCCTGGGTTCAAGCAATCCTCCTGCCTCAGCCTCCCAAGTGGCTGGAACTACAGGCAGGCACTACCATACCCAGCTATTTTTTAGAAATTTTTAGTAGAGACAGGGTCTTGCTGTGTTGCCCAGGCTGATCTCGAACTCTTAGACTTAAGTGATCCTCCTCCTTGGCCTCCCAAAATGCTGGAATTACGGGCATGAGCCACCATGCTGGCCTTTTTTTAATGATCTGATCAAATAGCTCAGATTGTAATGCCTATACCTTTCCACGGTGCTACACGAGAGCCTTCTCGTGCCATTCACTCTCCTGCACGCACGTCTTTCCATCACACCCCCACAATTCCACGTACACACACCCCACGCTGCCTCTCACTTCTGACGAGCAGGACCCTGCCTCTCACCCACAGGGGAAGCCTTGGGTATCAAGTACCCGGTTCAGGTCCCCTACAAGCGGATCAAGAGTAACCCCGGCTCTGTGATCATTGAGGGGCTGCCCCCGGGAATCCCGTTCCGAAAGCCCTGCACCTTCGGCTCCCAGAACCTGGAGAGGATTCTTGCCGTGGCCGACAAGATCAAGTTCACAGTCACCAGGTACTCAGGGGGAAGGATGAGGGTGAAGAGGCAGGACTAGCTCAGATGGAGGCTTATACCTGTGAATCCTTAGCCTTTCCCTAGGTCCTGCCCTCCCCACTGGACAAGGCGGCTCTCCTGGCACCATCTTGGGTCCTGGGGGTGGCCGGGAAGGGACTGCAGGCCAGCTCGAGTGCAGGGAGCCCTTCAGAAGTGGGACTGGTCACCCCACCATGGCAAGGGCAGACTTCAAGGGCATCTTCAACCTGTTCAGCCACACCCGCTCACTACACCCCCAGCCCCCGGGAAGACATTCAGCCCGCATCAGGGGATTTGCCCAAGGTCCCAGGGCCAGCCAGGGCAGAGCCGGCACAAGGCCCAGGTCTGCGTCCTGCAGAGTGACACTGCCAATGCCAGCACCCTGCCACATCGTCTCAGTGTCCCACGCACACAGAGCCCCAGGGCGGCTTGTTAAAATACAGATTCTGCTGCCGTAGGTCTGGGGTGCTCCCAGGAGAGACCGAGGCCACTGCATCCCAGGGGTGTCTTCCTCATCCCCCAGGTCCTCCTTCTGACACCCTTGCCTCTGTTTCTCTTCTAGGCCTTTCCAAGGACTCATCCCAAAGCCTGGTAAGAGGCACTGGCTGTGGAGGGGGCACTGGGAATAGGGCCTGGTCATAGTGCTGGGGGCTGGAGCTAAGTCTGCTGTGGGGCACAGGTTCTGCGGTCTGGGAACAGAATCCAGCCAGGCCCCTGCCTTTTTTTCTTCTTTTCTTTTTTTTCCTGAGGCAGAGTCCTTCTCTGTCACCCATGCTGGAGTGCAGTGGCGCGAACATGGCTCACTGCAACCTCCACCTCCTGGGTTCAAGCAATCCTCCTGCCTCAGCCTCCTCAGTAGCTGGAATGACAGGCAACTGTCACCATGCCTGGCTATTTTTTGTATTTTTAATAGAGACGGGATTTCACCATGTTGGCCAGGCTGGTCTCAAACTCCTGACCTCAAGTGATCCGCCCATCTCGGCCTCCCAAAGTGTTGGGATTACAGGCATGAGCCACCACACCCGGCCTAGGCCCCTGCCCTTCTGTTTAGCCACCTCACCTGGGCACCTGCCCCAGGTAGATGGAGGAAGGCTAAGCTTGAATGTGGCCCCAGATCCTGGAGCAGAGAAAGGGGTGGTGGTGCCGGTGACTTCTAAGTTTTACCCAGTGGGGATTCAGGAGGGAGGAGGGGCCGGGCCGGGTCAGTGCTCCTGCTCCTCCTGATAAAGGGGGTCTGGTTGACCTCAGTGAATAGATGAGGTTGGAGGCAAGTGGGTTCCTAACCACAGAAAGAGGGGTGTCTGCATGGGGGACCTCAAGCTTGTTGGTAAGATGTGGGGGGTGCCTACCCCACCCTAAACAGTGCAGTGCCTCTTCTGACCCCTTTTTTAAAAATGTATTTTATATATATATTTTTTGAAACCAAGTCTCACTTTGTTGCCCAGGCTGGAGTGCAATGGCACTATCTCTGCTCACTGCAACCTCCACCTCCCAGGTTCAAGCTATTCTGCCTCAGCCTCCCAAGTAGCTGGGATTATAGGCACGCACCACAACGCCCGGCTAATTTTTGTATTTTTAGTAGAGCCGGGTTCACCATATTGGCCAGGCTGGTCTCAAACTCCTGGCCTTAAGTGATCCACCTGCCTCAGCCTCCCAAAGTGCTGGGATCACAGGCATAAGCCACCATTCCCAGCCTCCTGACCCTTTTTAAGGCACCCATCCACTTCCGTCTCCACCATGGGCTGTGTCCTGGCCTCCCAAACCCAGATTTGCAGGGGCTGTCCCTGCAGAGCGACATGCCACGTGGTGAGCACTAAGGGCTGGCTAGAGCCTCCAGGGCGGGCCAGGCACAGTGACTCACACCTGTAATCCCAGCACTTTGGGAAGCCAAGGCAGGAAGATCACTTGAGGTCAGTAGTTCAAGACCAGCCTGACCGACATGGTGAAACCCCATGTCTACTTAAAATCCAAAAATTAGCCAGGCATGGTGGTGCGCACCTGTAATCCCAGCTACTCGGGAGGCTGAGGCAGGAGAATCCCTTGAACCCGGGAGGCGGAGCTTGCAGTGAGCTAAGATCACACCAGTGTACTCCAGCTTGGGTGACAGGGCGAGACTCAGTCTCAAAAAAACAACAAAAAAAAGTACTTAGGGTACGGTGATGTGGTGGCTGCCGACAGGCCATGGGAACCCCCAGAAGGGGGATCAGGAGGGTGAGGGGTAGTTGGAGAGGGCTTCCTGGAGTAAGGAAGGCCCTGCTTGGGCCTCAGGGGAAGATGGGACTTTGAGAGGCAGAGAGGAGGGTGGGATGTGTCTGGCGGGGTGAACGGCAGGGGTTGGGGAGTCACTGGAGGCCAGAAGTGTGTTTCCGGAACTCTCAGAGGGGCAGAATAATCAGATGATGTTAGAAAGGTGGAGCCAGTGGAAGCTGCAGCAGCGCAATGCAGTGAGTGTGGCTCTGATGGGCACCCAGCTGAGAGGTCACTGGGTTTCTGGCCCTGCACTGGATGGTTTATGTGGGTGCCTTTCACACATATTTCGGGAGGTCCTGCTGGGGCAAGGCGGTGTTCTAGGAACCAGGGTTACAGTGGAGTGCAGACAGAGGAGGCATCTCATCTAGTCTTCGTACCTAGGAGGTAGACGCTAGAGCCCACTTTACAGAGGGGGAAACTGAGGCTCAGTGTGAGTGACATGTTAATACTGTGTGTCCCAGGGCTAGCAGGTGGCCGTGGCCCCAGCCCTCAGGGATGGACCTGCCAGCCCCTTTCCAGACATTGGCACCCAAGCCAGGTATCCGCCTGGAGAACCAGCTCCACACTTACTCATGCCACTAGTCATACTGGGCTGGGAACATGTACAGGCTCCTCAGAGTCTCCAAGAGTTCACCAGAGGTCACTGAGTGCTACTTCTGCGCCAGAATGGAATTTTCTCAAATGCTCCCTCGCATGGTCCCCAAAACCTGGCCTGGGCCAGCACCGGCAGTTCCAAGGTGAATTGGAGTGGAAGCTGGGGTCTGCTGGGGGAGGCAGAGGCAATAGCAGGCCCCTTCATCTGGAGGCAGGTGTCCCAGGGCAGGTGGAGGGGTGGCAGGTAGTCTGCAGAGAGGCAGGCGGCTGGGGCAGTGCCCAGGAGTCAGCCTTCAGGGTCCCAGGCAGCATATGGGCCGTGGGAAAGCGCCGTTCGTTCAAGTCCCTGTACCCGCCTGACTAGCTGTGGGAATCTGAGCCTTCACTTCCTTACCGCTAAGACAGACAAGCACACCTGCCTCGCCATGTGATCTGAAGATGGAAAAAGATGGGCAGTGCCAGGTGAGCTGGGAGGACTGTTTTCCCCCAGTTGCCCCTTTTTTTTTTTTTTTGAGATGGAGTTTAGCTCTTGTTGCCCAGGCTAGAGTGCAATGGCGTGATCTCGGCTCACTGCAACTTCCGCCTCCCAGGTTCAAACGATTCTCCTGCCTCAGCCTCCCGAGTAGCTGGGATTACAGGCACCCACCACCATGCCCAGCTAATTTTTTTGTATTTTTAGTAGAGACAGGGTTTCACCATGTTGACCAGGCTGGTCTTGAACTCCTGACCTCGTGATCCGCCCGCCTCGGCCTCCCAAAGTGTTGGAATTATAGGCGTGAGCCACCGCACCCGGCCCTAGAGCCATTCTTAACAGGGTTTGTCCCCCTGGAAACTTCCAGAAGCCTCACCCTCCTGGGAATTCCCTGCTGGGTGCCACAGTCATCTCTTCACTGCTCGGTTTCCACTCTCCCATCCTTGCACCGACATCCCACTGTTAGGCCTTCTTCAAGCATGGACCTTCTCATGCTCAGTCTCTCTGTGGTGTGGAAACGTCTACTGGGTGGGCCTCACAGAAGGTTCCAGGCCCTGGCGCAAGCCCAAGGGAAGCAATGATCCAAAATGGACTCAGATAAAGTTTCTGCCACTATGCATTGGGGGCTTTTGGTTGGAGTCCAGTTCAATTTTAGAAAAATAAAAATACATGTCTCGCACTTCTGAGTTTGCAGACTAAGGTCCATTCTGTATTTGCTAACGAGGGCAAAAAGAAAGGCAACTGAGTGCGGTGGCTCACGCCTGTAATCCCAGCACTTTGAGAGGTCAAGATGGGTGGATCACTTGAGGCTGGACAAGAGTTCGAGACCAGCCTGGCCAACCAGCCTGGCCTTTCACCATGTTAGGGTGCCTAAAAATACAAAAATTAGCTGGATGCTGTGACACACACCTATAATCCCAGCCACTCAGGAGGCTGAGGCAGGAGAATCGCTTGAAACCAGAAGGCGGAGGTTGCAGTGAGCCGAGATCGCGCCATTGCACTCCAGCCTGGGCAACAAGAGTGAAACTCCATCTCAAAACAACAACAAAGAAGAATGGCTCTAAACCAGAAACAGTGGTTCACCCTGTAGTCCCAGCACTTTGGGAGGCCAAGGTAGGAGGATCGCTTGAGGCCAAGAGTTTGAGGCCAGCCTGGGCAACATAACAAGACCCCGTCTCTACAAAAAATTTAAAAATTAGCCAGGCACAGTGGCACACACCTGTAGTCTCAGCTACTCAGGAAGCTGAAGCGGGAGGATGGCTTGAGCCCGGGAGGTGGAGGTTGCAGTGAGCTGAGATTGTGCAACTGCACTCCAGCCTGGGTGACAGAGCATGACACCACCTGAAAAAAAAAAAAAAAAGGCTCTGTGATTTTTTTAGGTCACTTATTGAAGGTTCCTATGGAAGCCTTTCCTAATAGAACCACCCCGAGAAGGTGAAAATTCTGAAAGAGATTACGCTTTTTTGTTTTTGTTCTGTTTTGTTTTTTTGTTTTAAGATGGAGTTTTGCTTCTTGTCACCCAGGCTGGAGTGCAGTGGCACGATCTCAGCTCACTGCAGCCTCCACCTCCCGAGTTCAAGCGATTCTCCTGCCTCAGTCTCCCGAGTAGCTGGAATTACAGGTGTGCACCACAACACTCGGCTGAGTTTTGTATTTTTAGTAGAGACGGGGTTTCGCCATGTTGGCCAGGCTGATCTCAAGCTTCTGATGTCAGGTAATCTGCCCGCCTCAGCCTCCCAGAGTGCTGGGATTACAGGCATGAGCCGCCGCACCTGGCTGAGATTGTGCTTTTTTGAAGATGAATCAGTCATTTAATTGCGAGAGCCCCACTGCACCCTGAAGCTGTGGGCCTCCCCACTGAAGGGTGAGAGTACAGCCACTCCTGGGCTGGTTTTGTTCGGGGTCAAAAGATGACTCAGGCCAGACATGGTGGCTCACACCTATAATCCCAGCATTTTGGGAGGCCAAGATGGGAGAATCACTTGAGCCCAGGAGTTTGAGACCAGCCTGGGCAACACAGCAAGATCCCATCCTGCAAAGATATTTTTTTAAATTAGCCAGACATGGTAGGGACAAACGACTGTATTCCCAGCTACTTGGGAGGCTGAGGTGGGAGGATCCCTCAAGGCTAGGAGTTGAAGGCTGCTGTGAGCCATGATTCCAGCGTGCATGACAGAGTGAGATCTTGTCTCTAAAAAAGAGAGAGAGAGAGAGAGATAAGCCCAGAATGTCTTTAATGTTTTCCCAACTGGGGACACCACATCTGCCCTCAGTGCCTCAGTCTCCCCACTAAAATCTAGAGGCCCTGCCTGC